AGTCAAAAGACAAAAAATGTCTTACGCTGCCAGCTCTCGGCGGCATAACCATAATGAACTGCCCGCCAGTGTAACCAGCAAAGTTCATCAATACTAAGGTTTCGTTTTCGCTCAAATCTCTGCCACACGGGCTTCCAGACATCAGAACTACATTGAACTGCAATTTACAAGGTTTTTCACGTAAACGCTCAAGAGTGAGTTCGAAAAGTTTAAGAGGTTACAATCTTTTACGGTAAAAGCAGTTGAACAAGCGGTTCTAACTGCTTGTGCTTCCAGTCATTAGCAGTAATCGTGTTGGTGTTGCTAGAGCCATAGTAGATCAAAAAATCTTTTATAAAAGTTTCTTAGATTACGTAAAAGATAGTAGTGAATGTCTGCCCAACTGCTACTTACCATAACCTTAGTTCTTTCCAGTAACTCATATACAGCTTCCACCTCGCTTGTTGTTACGTCGAGCTTCATATAACCGTTAATAAAAAGATAAACCACGCCTAAATTTTAGTTTAGTCAAAAAACAAATAAGGTAAAAAAAGCCCTGTTTGTTTTCTGTCAGTGCTTTTACTACAACACGTTAAAAAGCTAAAATTTCTTGGTTTACAATAATAGTTTACCATTCAATGTCAGTTGATGGTTCATAAGCACCCCCAAAAGACCTGGTAGAACACGTAGATCACGACATGATGGCTGAAATTTTTTGAATAGTTCAGAAATTTGGTATACAATATCATTTCTCAAGGTTTTTAAAAAATACAACTTTAATGTTCAAAAAACGAAGGAAGTGATATGAAACATTAAGTTCTTCCAGTGTATGCATAGGTAATATGCATAGTGTGTATGCAGCAAAAAATTTACAGTACCGCAAATACAGTAACGCATGTATTTACAGTAATGCATATATATTTTTAAACAAACGCTCGTTGAACAATTTTTCTTGTAGATTTTCCAGCCTTTCATTCATATTCAGGCTCTAAATGGTTAAAAAGCAACATACGTCGCTAGCAGCCAAATTAGCTGAATAAAGCGCATCCATTCCTTGAAGAAACTCATTTGCATTTGGTGTAGAAGCCACTTTTGTGAAGGCTGCAAATAATATACCAATAACAATGATCAAGTAGATAGCTCATCTTTCTTTTTCATCTGTCTTACTGATAGTTTTCTAAACAGTGAATTCAGAGCAAAAGTTTTTTAAAGTCTTTCTGCCCCTTCTTTTTTTTTGCAATTTAAGTTGTGTAATTAAAAAGTAACTAATAAAGATTTTAATAACGTACTCGAGTCATTAAACCTATATAACTGATAAGTGCTAATCCATTCAGCGTGTTGGTGAGTCAAATCTTGAACTAGCGACGGTAGCTGATTTTTGATACTCCTCATTGACGTCCTTAAAAACAATTTTTCCATTTTGCTAAACAAGCATTAAACTGTAAGATAAAGAATATTGAAAAGTTTTGTTGTGAACTTTTACCTTGTTGAAATAGAGTCTTGAATAATTAAAGTCAGTGACCGCTTATTTGGGCCAAAATCAAAGTCTTCATTTCTTTGGTGGCAGACGGCTAAAATAAAAACCTGTAGAAACCTTTAAAATCACTCCTTTTCGAAGTAAAGCTGCGCAATAAGGAAGAAATTAGAAAAAATTGATTAGTATGTAATAACAGTAATACCAAAGTGTTTCTGAATTTTAATATTTATTGAAAACTTCAAATGACAAATTGCTCAGAAAGCATTGTACCAAGCGGCATTTCAAAACATAAGTTTCCACACTTACATGTTTCGCAGAACTGTCCCGTGAATCCACTGACGCACTCACATTTATTTCCAATTGCCGTCCCCAAGTTCAAACATTGTATTTTTTCACATTTCTTTCCTGTGTAGTGTGCCGGACAGATGCAAGTTTGAGTGCCATTCGACAGTGTTGTTTCAACTCCGCCATTCATACACTGACCAGGGGGAGTTTGTGTTGTCTCAACTGTAATACGAAACATTCATAAATGAAGAAGTTTAATCAAAAGTAAATATATTAGTTTAAAGTGACTAATAACCGATGCTGCAGAATCCTGTATATGAACGCTGAATGACTGCTCCGTTTGAAGCCGTGACGTAGACGTTCATGTAAAAGAATTCATTCGGATAGGCACATTCCCATTCGCCAAAGTACAAGTTAAAGTTGCAGCTATCTCGATAAATTCCTCCAGATGCATATAAAACTGTTCGTTTGTCACTTGTGCCTTCATTTGTCCATATGGTTGCTTCTGCCAGGATTTGCGTCGGGTCCGGATAGTTTACATCATTGATACGTGCAACCATATGTGAAGTTTGCTCTACAAGTTGAAACGATGACTAACAGTTCTTGATTTTCTATTTGTAAAAGTTATTGTTGTGTCCTGTAAAAAACAACATTTTCTTGTCTATTTGTAGCAAAGCAAATACGGTATATTGGTTGTGTGACAGTGGCATCTTCTGCAAGGCCAGTGGAGATTCCAACCCACAAAGATGTATCTCCGTAGCCGAAAACGCGAAGCGAACACGGGTTGTACGATTGGCTTTCAAGTTCCATCTGGAAGACCAACTTTATTATAACAGCAAAAGCATTTATTATTAAAATGGTGATTTTGAAAGGAAATAAACTGCGCAAACCAAATATCCTCCATACATCAAGTTTTCAATCTGCCAAACATACAAGTGGTCTGAAGACGAATAAAAAAGGGTTGCTTCTGTACGATTTCGCGAAGGATCAGTGAGATAAAGATTAAGATTGGCTGAAAACACAGCGTTCCTTCATCTCTTCAAAGCAAATTTGTTCGTAATTAAGTGTTTATGGAGAGGGTTTTATATATTGTAACAAAATTTTTAAAAGTAACAAGTGGTTAAAAACAGAGTAAAAAGAAAGGAAAAACGAACATCCAGTAGCTGATATGAAAACATTTCGCAAACTATGATCGACGAAGAATGACTGGTATTTTGGTGCACGTTTGCATGAATCCATAAGATCATTTGAAAAGATGTGGTCAGCTTTGTGTGCGGTGATTGCCAGAACAACAGTAGCCTAGAAAGAGAAAAAATATTTAATTTCAAAGAAGCAGTGGTAAATTTTTTTCAATTTTCTTCTTACACTAAATACAGCATTCAAGCTGCATTAAAAACTTCAAAATAGCACAATCCCCCAGGCCAACCCATTGCATCTTCAGATTAAACAACAATGTTAGTAAACTTGCCGATCCTAAATCTTCTAAATCTACGTATGTCACTTGACCAAAACTGAATTGAGCTAAATATCGCAATCCACGGTACCCTTCAGATGCGGTATCGATGTTACAGCGTCCAGAAACAGAGTTGGCTAACATAAAGAACATCTAAAATATCCAGATATTTGAGGCAACAACAAAACTGCGCAGTGCTTTTATATAGTAATAATGGTGCTTTTTAAAGCGATTACTTCTGTTCACTGAATTTGCAAATGCAAAAAAAAAAACAACTTAAGAAATTCTCTGCTGTTGATATATTTATTACCATCAGTCGGTACTTGTCAGTACCGACTGAAACATTTGGCGAAATTTTACCTGTCCTCTGAAGAAGCTAAGTTGGTGCAAAAGCGTAAGACGCTCTTCCGTGTTGTCATCAGGCATGCCGTCTGTGAAGATGAAAAACATTGACCGCTAAATTTGAGAAGAATTTATTTGTTTTCAAGAAAATCATAATACATACACTAGTTCTCAATGCGTTTTTTACTACTCTTTTTTAGCTGACATATTATAAAGCTAACTGAAATACCGCTGAAAGAAAATTACCTTGTACATCTGAACGGCAGGAGTGTCAATTGCTGTGCTTATTGCTGTATAGATTGCATCATTACAGATAGTGTCTTGTTCAATCTTTATTGCACGAATAGCATTTACAAATTCATCCGCCCTTGTAGTACTTTGAACATCAACCACTGAAATATTTTTGTTCAGTAGCTGCACTATAACTGGAAAACTTACCACAGTGGTAAATGAAAATGAGAAGAAAGAGATAATTTTTAATAGAAATTTAGTAATTCTTTAAATGCATGCTACACTTTATTTCATTTATTTCGTGAATTATCAAACACTGGCCACAAATTTAACAAAAAGAACGATAACCAACTTCCGTTGAAGACTGTGACGAGAACCCAACGTTGAATATAGGAATCACTCTGATAATACGAGGCAATTGTCCGAGCAGCACCAGCAATTTCTTCAATGTGCCCCGCCATAGATAACCCAGAGCGAACAATGAAAACAATAGCTTTGTATTTGGAATCACCGTAACCTTCAGTCGGATTTTGACAGAAAACTGAAAAAAAAAATTAAAAGATTTACGCAGTTACTCCTCAGTCTGCAGGTATAACCTACACTTTCGGTTATTCACAAAGCTAACGTAAAATAGATTATAATTTATTCTTCCTTAACAGCATCTTCGCAGCAATAACTTTCAAGTTGCATTCAACTGACCATGCTCACAGGACTCTCCGGTATATCCTACAGCACATGTACATCGACCGTATTTTCCTACTTGACCATTATTAAAGCATCGTTTTGTTTCACACATCCTACCTTCGTAATCATTACCGCAGTAGCATTCTTGCTGTAATAAAACGTATTGCTGGACTTCCTAGTCATTTACAAGGGGTACCGAATCGTTCTTGACTAGTTTGAGGCTGACTCACTAACCTGTGCTGTTCCCGCGTTCACCAGAATACCACCATTGAGACACTGTTCTGGTGGTGGCTCAGTAGGTGGTGGGCTAGGAGTGGCGTAAGCTGAAATGAAAAAAATTTTGTTTTTGTGCCTCTTCACTTCTGAAGAAAGCCTAAAGATTTATTTGAAAGCTTAAACTGACTCACTTTCGCACATATAAATATAGACTCGTTGCCACGTGTTCCCTTTAGTATCTACACCTTCCACCTAAAAATGATCGAGAGTACAGAAAAATGTTGAATTAATGCAAGAAATAAATCAAAAAA